GCCTCCTTCGCCACTGCCTCCGTCGGTCTCTTGCCCTCCACTGCAGCTGCTGGCTGTCATTGACTCAGCAGCGGCTGTGAGGAGGAACGCGCCACTGCACAGATCATTAACAGGTTGTCAGTGATCTGGACAGCGGCGCGTTCCTCCTCACAGCCGCCAGTGACAGTCAGCGATGCCATAGCGACCCAGGTGGCCCGCACGGGATAAAGGGGACCCCTTTGTTCCTCGTCCTGGCCGGGCCCCCCTGTGCCCCAGGCCCCATAGCGGCTGCCCGGGTCGCTATGGTGATAGTTCCACCGCTGACTTAAGCCAATTGATCCTCCTCACTCATTTCTATCCAAGGAGGCTCATTTTGGAGATCTGGTGAAGTATATTAGCCATCCCGTCAATGCAGTAGTGCAGGATCACAGGCAAGAACTCTAGGTGTTGGTGGATAGACGGATCAATCATGATATATCCAGGGGACCAAACCATCTGCTTAGTCCGGAGAGTCAGAGCATGGCAGTTGGACGTGCTTACAACAGCAGATTGCATAGCAAGCCCGGACAAGGAAAAGAAGGCTTTAAGGAGGGCCTCTAGCCTCTTGTCTACAGGGTTCTTGAAAGCAGAGACATCCTCAACAGGGACCGTATGATTTTTGTTGCGGCAGGAGATGGCCAGATGCACAAGAGGGACAAATCTTAAAAATGCATTCAAGCACCCTAACTCAGGGGCACCCACTATTTTTCGTCTGGAGATCTACTTTTGAAATGACGAGCTCATTGAGATCTACCAACGAAAAAACACCTGCATTCAGGGGCGGGAGGGGGCGTAGGCTGCGCAGGCAGGCCCTTCGCCCACAGTGCGATCGCCTGCATTAGTGCAGATCGACCTTGTGGGCACCCCTGCCCTAACTATTAAAGTAGTATGAAACTCTCAAACTTTTTTTCAATATTGAATCCAGATCAAACAAATATACATTGCTCAGCAAAGCATTGCTTTACATTTTTATCCTCTAACAATCATATTTCTGAACAGCTGCATCCAAGTCTTTCAGCTCAGCTTTCCTGAACTTCCTGTCCAGTACAAGATCACAAGAGACAGAGCAGACTCCAGCACAGTCTACAGAAGCTGTTCCTGTGCTACCTTGGAGAAGGGAGGAGTGGGGAGCAGGGGGCACGGAAGTCACTTGCCTTGCTGTGTCTGTGTGTTTGTGGAGACACACACAGCTTTCTAGCACACACAAGGGTGACTCCATAGGACTCTGCAAGTGAAAGGAAGGAGCCACCCTAAGGCTGGGTTCACACCATTTTCCGGACCAGATCTGGAACATAGTGCATTGTATTTTTGCTGCGATTTTGCCGAGATTGGAATTTACAAAAAAAAAATATTTTCCAGTGCGTTCCAAACGTTTTTGATGCATTTTGATGCTTTCCAGTGCATTCCAGAACAGACAAAATAGGACAAGCTGTATTTTTCTGGTCTGGTCTGGAACAGACTGCACTGGTGGGAACAGAGGCCAGAAATAGTATAGGGATACATTGGGATGCATTTTGGGTCCAGAAACAGTCTGGTCTGGTCTGAAGGTAATCTGGATGTGGTGTGAATGGACCCTGAAACTGTATATTAGGGCCTGTGCCCAGGGGACCTGCTGATTCTGCAGAAAACTAAAACATTCAGGGCCCATTCACACCAGTGTGGCGCATTAATCGTACAGTTAAAGTAAAAATGTTTTTAAGCTATTTCGAATGCTGATTAACTGACTCACAATGGATTTTGCTTCTTGATGTTAAGGGCCCATTCACATCAGTGCAGTGTGTTAATCACACGTGCAATTAACGCATGCTACCACGCGATGCACTGTGCTGAACCTACCGTGCATTACAGTGTGCAAAGTGTGCCAATGGCAACGTAACGCACCTCCCCCACTGTAAAGCACGGTAGGTGCGCTGCATGGTAATGTGTGTTTAGCTCATGTGTGACGAACGCACCACACTGGTGTAAATGGGCCCTTAAACATTAAGCAGAATGTAGGCATCTATTCAGCATTTGAAATAGCTTCAAAACATTTTGACTTGAATATCACTTTATGTTTTAAATGCAGGATCTGAATAATGGATAGAATCAGTGGGCCAGATATTATTTCCCTGTTAGTGATGTTGTTAGCTGAGAGTCGGGATTGGGGAAAGTTCTGCAGATGCGGTGCTGAGAGCCATCACAGCAAGAGAGGTATGTGAAGTGTGAACAGACAGCTTTTAGTACTATGGATATGGGGAAATTATCAAAACTGGAGCAGCTGTGCATGACAACCAATCAGCTTCTCTGGTTCATTTTCAAAGTTTAGCTGAGGAAACTGAAGAGTGATGCTAAATGGTTGCCGTGGGCAACTGCTCCAGATTGTGTCCGCTCCAGTGTTGATAAATTCCCTTCAATGTGTTCTTTACATTTAGTACTGCTACACAGTTAGTGTTCCTCCTGCCTGGCTGTCATGCTGATCCAATGGCTTCTGTATTTTCTGTACCTGAAACAAGTATGCAGGTCAGGAGTACAGCGCCACTGAATGACACCCCATTGATGTGAAATCCTCTGCTGGCAGAAACTAGACAATTCGAGAGTGATCAATCTTCTGTGTCTCCCCCACTGCGCTCCCGGTTCCTCCCACTTACCTCTACGTCACTATAGGACACACTACACATACACATTAAAGTGACCCTGTCAACACAGGGCCACTTTGTGTGTTAAGGCATCCCTATAATTAGAAGAGACGACATGCTTACCTTTCTGGTGGTCCGTTTGTTGAGATCTCACCTCTTCATTGTAGCTGGCTGCTGCAAGTAATGGCTTAAGCCCGTGACACGCTGCATGCAAAGCCGTGCAGAGTGAAGCAAAGCTGTCAGGCACAGAGGTTTGCATGCGGTGTGTGAGCTGAGCGCGGCCAGATGAATCACTGCATCTTCAATAACAACCGAATGGGCTTCGCATTGTGATGCGCGGGTATACGCACAAGCCGATTGGCTGAAGATTACATTTTTCATCTCGGCATGATCAGCTATGCGAGCTCTCGCAAGCTGACATGACAGAGTGAAAAAGACATGGCACACTGCATGCGAAGGCAGCGCGCCACTGCTCCACGCTGCTTTGCGTGCAGTGTGTCACAACTTTTATGCTGATTCAAAGGCTTCAAGCAGAACTCCAGGGGAAAATCATTATTAACCCTGCAGTGGAGCTACCCCTGCACTGCAAGGGTTAACTGCTTGTTTTGGGCTATGAAGGAAAATAACAAAGTTATACTCACCTTATCCTCTGAAGCAGCCAGCAGTGAAAGCACTCCCTCCTGTCTGTCTCCTCCTATGCTACAGCAATGTCCCTCAGCATCCTCACATCCAATGCACTGTATAGGAGTGATGACTCAGGGACCTTAGACCGCTGCAGCAGAGGGGGAAAGAAATTGTCTAAAGGTGCCCATACACTTTACAACCCTCGCATGACTTTTGTCTTGCGAGGGTTGTAAAGTAATTGAAAAAAACGTACGATCTGCCCATCTTGGACAGGCAGATCATACATGCGGGGGGCGTGCTTCCGATGACTGCAATGAGGGGCGGGCTTCCGATGACTGCAAACGGACCCACATCGGCGGGCCCAAACGGAGCTGTTCACTCTATGGTGTCATGCAAAATCGCGCATTACCAGCGATATTGCGCGATATCGCGCTACAGAAGGGTCACTTTTGCACTGCAAAATGGAAGGAAAGAATGATGTCACATCAAGATCGCTGTTGATTGGTTACAGCCCAATGTAGCAGGGACGAAGTCCCGCCCATAAAAGTCCCACGATAAAATGTGCACTGCCGCTCAATATCGCGCAATGTAGCTCAAAGCCGCTCAGCGCGAAATCGCGCGATATCCATGTCGCTCAGTGTGAATGGGGTCTAAAACCTGGAAAGGCTTTGTGCTAAATATAGAGCACTGAATGGCTGCACTCCAGATGACCAAACTCTTCCCAGGAGATGCCCCAGCATGACTCCCCCAAGCTAGAATGACTGCAGAGATGATGCTGTGATCAGCACATTGTCCTGCCAATCACTGACTGCCTCCCTGTCTTAGATTTTGGGGAGGGCAAATGGGAACGTTTTGTCTTTTTTTGTCCTTGCAGCAGACACATTCCATTGGCTCAGTTGCTGCTCCTTTAAACTGAACTGTAAGAAGGAAGAAACTTTTTTTAGCTCACCCAACTTCAGATCAATAAGTATCTACAGAGTGGAAATGAAGTTCTTCAATTTCATGCCCCAGCCTGTGCATACGGCACCTAGGAAGATTACAACTTTTCCTAGGGACTGAGAGGTCCAACATTTGACCTGCACCGAGCCTGTCGTGTCTAAAGAGTGAAAAGAGACACTTTCCAAAGTGTGAAATTACACGAGAGGCTGGGATTGAAGGAGGAGGGGGAGGCTGGCATCCCATAGCCTGGATCAGAGGCTGGGATTGAAGGAGGAGGGGGGAGGCTGGCATCCTATAGCCTGGATCAGAGGCTGGGACCCTATAACCTGGATCAGAGGCTGTGAGTTGAGGAGGGGGGGAGACTGAGAATACATAGCCTGCATCAGAGGCTGTGAGTTGAGGAGGAGGGGAGAGACTGGGACTCCTTAGCCTGCATCAGAGGCTGTGAGTTGAGGAGGGGAAGTTGAGGAGGGGGGGAGACTGAGACTCCATAGCCTGCATCAGAGGCTGTGAGTTGAGGAGGAGGGGAGAGACTGGGACTCCTTAGCCTGCATCAGAGGCTGTGAGTTGAGGAGGGGGGGAAAGACTGGGACTCCTTAGCCTGCATCAGAGGCTGTGAGTTGAGGAGGGGGGGAAAGACTGGGACTCCTTAGCCTGCATCAGAGGCTGTGAGTTAAGGAGGAGGGGGGAGACTGGAACTCCATAGCCTGCATCAGAGGCTGGGAGGGGGAGGCTCAGGACCCCATAGCCTAGATCACAGAGGCTGGGAGTGAAGAAGGAGGAGGAGGAGGGGGGAGGCTGGGATCCCGTAGCCTGGATCACATTACATTCTTTCACTCCTCTCTCTACAAATCCCTTTCCTGCAAGTTTTCTGGGGAAGAAAAGTGTTTTGTGCGATGCTGATGCATGCCTGAACATCGGAGCCCACAGCTTCGTCCTGCAGGACTTTGCACTGGATTTTGGGATTCCTTGGAGTGAATGAAGGAACTAAAATGGAGGAGGGCAGATTGCAGCGCTGCGCTGGGCTGGAGCCATCCTATTGAGTGCAACGAGACAAAGCTGTGTGGAGTTTGGGGCCATTTCTGCTTTGTGTTCATCTTCAAGATAGTTTTCCTGCCCCCCATCCTCTTTTAAACATGTCCTCCTCCATGGTGCTATGGATCTGCTGGATTGCGGGGATCTTCTACAGCTTCTTCATGTCTGCATCTGGAGAGATTCACTTTAACGAATCCCTGTACATGGATAGGTGCAAGAAGACCACCACTTGTGAATCCCTCAAATACAACATTTGCCTTGGATCTGCTTTACCCTATGCCTTTACTTCCACTGCCTTGGCTGAGGATTCCCTTTCTCAGGAAGAAGTTCATGATAAACTGTTGCTTTGGTCTGGTATGTATGGGCTGCTGGCAATCTGTTTACATGGCTGTGTCTTCTGATGATCAAAGTGTTGCCAAACTCATCATTCAGGATCTGCACATGTGAGAGGAGGTTATTCACTCCTTCTAGCAAAACTTCACGTGCTTTGTTTTCTGTTCTATGTGTTTATAAAGTAAGAAAAAACACAAAGGAAGCATTGTACTGTATAATATTTATTATTATTTATTTTTTAGCAGGATCAGCAGATTTCACCTTGCAGTTTTCCTCTTGAGGCTGATTTTACTAGAAGAGCAGAAATGTGCAATGTGAAAAGTGAATGTTGACTTTTGTGACTAAGGCTCCGTTCACACCATGTGCATTGACTTGCGTTTTTCTGCACAACAAAACACAAGTCAGCATTAGGGCACATACAGTTGTTCCCTATGTGTCTTGTTTATACCACAACGCAGGTGGTATGTGCGGTGGCAGAGAAATGTGGACGTGCTGCATTTTTTTACAACGCACTGGATAGCACTGCGGGTCAACACAGTGCACAGCATGCGCAGACCTGAATGGAGCGTACACTTTGTACACTCCAGATAAAGTTTATAAAAGTAAACAATGTTTTAGTGGATGGGCTAGAGATAATGTAACCTTAGGTATGCACTATGGTCATCTTCAATACCCAGTCATGTGCCAGGAAACAAAACAACATTTGTGCTGGCACATGACTGGATAATTGAATTGAACACCTTGTCACCTTATTCAGTAAGCTAAGTGACCATTCTTTTTCTAAAAAACTGAAAACTCGCTCTTTCTTTAGTAAATCAATGCCAATGTGTGTGTGATATACAGCTTCTACATATATGTGTAGTACACAGCCATTGACTGCTTGTTAGGAAAGAAGTGTTTGATTATCTGTGTTCTGGAGTCTGCCACAGAAGTGTGTTTGTCTGTTATGTGTTTGTTACATTGTCATTTGTTTGATAAGAAGGCCCTTTACTATGTTACGACACTGTCGGAGTCAGATTTCTCATTAGGTACCGTACTTGAGGGCACAGTGCCTGTGGCCTACACATTTTTAGGGCCTACCAAAGAGGGAAGTTTTTTAAAGCAGAAAGATAAGGACTTTGATTGTAACGCACATTACATGCAACTACAACTTCTACGCTACATTACAAAGACATGGATCCCAAATTTTTTGCTGTTGTAAAAGTTACTTTGGTTTCTCTTTTTAACAAAACCTTTAACGTCATCCATATTAGGAGTAATATCGCTCTCAGTGCAGAGAAGAGTCAAAGACCGGAGATGATCTTGGCCTTTGCTGGTTGCATGTGATTCTTAAATTTATTCTACATTTTGATCTAGTGATCAGTAAGTCAATTCTCAATGTGATATACGTATACATGTTAGGAAGAAAATGGATTTTGTTTTTCTTCAGGACATTGATATGATCTTTTTGAGTGAAAAATTCTACAACAATCACTGATGGAGTAGAGACATAACAATGATCTTCTATTGGCAGTTCTGAAGCGTTGCTTATATTTTGCGCGTCACAACACTTGTGTGAGCTACTTGACTCCATTAAAGATCCATTTCAGTCCTATGAGCAATATTATCTAACTTAGTGCATAATTCTGGTGTTACAGAGAACTTTTATAAATCAATATAACTTTCATTTGCTTATGGGCCCATTCACACCATATGTGTTCAGGCTGTGCTGGCTATCCGAATGCAATTGCCTTGTCATGGGTGGGCACAGTTCACATCACCATGTTCTTGTGGTGTGCGCTTAAAAAAAGTTTGACATTCAATATTTTCTTCTTTTAAAGGAGAACTATGAGGTGAGTGATTTTCACTCGGCCTCATAGTTCTAGCCGACCTGTGACAATGAAACTGTCACAGTTCGGCTCAATAGATCGGGAAGTGAGCGAACACATACTGTCGCTCGCTCACTTCTCGATCTATCTCTGCAGAGAGCTGTGACTGTCACTCATGGCTCCCTGCAGGAATTCCCCCCCTCCCCTGTCCGATCCTCCAGCGCTGACTGGAGGAACGGACAGGGGAGGGGGCGGGTACAGCTGGCTCTACCTCTATATAGGCAGATCCAGCTGTCAATCACGCAGCTGGGTGGATCTCGACAGTATTGTCGGGATCCGTCCCGGCTGCGGCATCTCAGTATACCGTGAGCTGTAGCTGGCGGTATACTGAGCTTTGGGTGGCGGGAGGACGCTAGTTTGTGTCCTCCCGTTACCCTTAGGAGAACTATGGGGAAAAGCCCTGACCCCATGGTTCTCCTTTAAGCGCTCTGCAGTGAGCCCATAGAACATAAGAAATGTCAATTGTGACATTTCAATAAAGTTGTAACAAACAACAAAAGAAACAGTGCATTCCAGCTTGATCGAGGGCATCAGCATCATGCAATTGAGCATGGCTGCTGGTGTGCACAAGCCCTATAACTCTATTATAACTCCGCATATAGGCTTAGTGTAAAGCTGGCCATACACCTATACATTATCTGCAGATTTTCTATGGTCAGATGGAAAAAGTGCAACAGGTTCCTCTATCTACGCTAAACTGTGTGGATGGAGGAATGTGCCACTGGGCCAAGCTTCAGGATCTTGCTAGTTGGCCCCGCTGGCTGTCAAAATACCTGAACAATCTGATTGGATGCAGGCACTGTTCGGGTATTTTGACAGCCAGCGGGGCTGACTAGCAAGATGTACATTTATCAAGAGTGGAAGACAGGCAAAGGTTGTTTTTCTTTTCATTTATAGCACTCAAACTAGCATTAAAACTTCAGAGTCACACAAGATAACTATAGAAACATAAAAGATGTAATACATTCATTTTAGGCACCTCACTGCTTAGCTAGAATACACTGGGAGATTGGAGCCTACGATCCATAGTAAACCACACTTGCTAAATTACCAGTGTGCATGATGTAGCCTGTGAGAGCATGGGCAGGAATCCCAAATGTCCCATTTAGCTGTGACAGCTGTACCCATTCAAGTTAATGACCAGGTCACAGTTGTTGATTACATGCGATTTAGAATAGATCACAATTCCTGGATGCATGTATCCTGCGTTCAGTGACAGTGATCTATGCCAAACTGCATGTAATCGGATCACACACGATTACATGTGGACTGCTGCTTACAGGTCATTAACTTGAACGGGTACAGCCAGAGCCACCAATAGAAATCATGCGGCCCCATACAGCCTACATGGCTAGGCCCGCTCCCCCCACCCCCCAGCTGCCAATGGCATGCTCGTATTTGTGATCCCTCACAGTCTCACACTATTATTATACATTTATATAGCTCTGACATATACCACAGTGATGTACAGAGAACACTGAGCCAGTCACATTAGTTTCTGTACAGAGGAGCTTACACTCTAATGCAAAATGGCACCGGCTGTAGGGGGACTACAAATCCTAGCAATACATAATACAGCAGGGGTGCCCATTAGGTCGGTCGCGATCTACTAGTCGATTGCGTAGCGATCACTGGTAGATTGTGATGTCTGTCTGTGTTCTCTGGATCCCCGCTGCTCTCCCCCATCTGTATGCAGCGGGGATCCGAGGAAAACTGAAGCTGCAGTCGGCGGCGGGGGGTGGGGAACGGAGCCGCTATCACAGCAGCACGCCGAGCGGTGAGGAGAGAGAGCCGCTGGGCCTGGATCTGACAGCCGGCGGCTCTCTCTCTCCTCACCGCACATGCTGCTGGTTCCGTGGTTACAGCGGCTCCGTCCCCCGCCGCCGACCGCACCTTTACCTTTCCTCGGATCTCCCGCTGACTCTGCCCGGGAGAGCAGGGGGGATCCGGAGGAGAAGCTGAGCCC